CCAGCCTTAGCCACCAGTCATTTCCTCTATAAAGTGAAAACAATAAACAGTCTAACTATATCTTAAATAAGCATTCTTACGCAATCTCAAAATAAAGTCCTGTCGGCTGCATTTCTCTCGGTGTGTCATCTCTCCCTTCCATCTCTTCTCCGTCCTTCTCCTTTCGTCTCTCTTCGCCCATCTTTCTTAAATTAAGAAGTTATGTCCTTGTCCATCGGAGTTGAGATAAGATAAGGGTCAGCTTGCTCTTCTTAACTTTTTTTTTTCTTTAGCCGGAGAAGAACTGACCTTGTACATTTTTCTCTCTAATTAGCACCTGGACACAAGCAGAGTTCTAGCTTTTTCGTTGCAGCTCTGAAATAAATCCTATGAAATACAACTCTATTCTATTTTTACATTTTTCATAATCAAATTCATGACACTGACCAGCGGGGCCTTTGCGATGATCGTGGAGGAGTGCTCCCCCGCGATCATCGCAAAGCGAATTTTCCCCATAGGGGCCATCGCAAAACGATCGCTCTTGCGATGGAAAAAAGTCCATCGCAAAGTGATTTCATCGCTAAACGGAGCGATCGTTATGCGAGGCACCACTGTATATCAGGGAGTTTAAGGTGCTACAACGTTTTTGTCTGAGATGTCAGCACAGATTAACACGGCTACCCCTTCTAAAGAATGTGTGTGTCTTTGTGTGTGGTGAACATGAAGGTGCCTTTTTAAGCCACCTGGATTGCATTTCCTGTGTTGGAAATGCGTTTTTCCCAGATAAACAAAAATCTGTATTTTCCAAAATGTGTGAAGCTGCTTCATAACTTGCTAATTTTGAAATTCATTTTCTGTTCACATTCCTGAAATTCAATGAACAAGTTCTAAGTGGTGAGCTAAGTCTTACCAGTATCAGGTTTACCAGTGTAGTACTGAGAGGTTCTAGTGAGAGTCTTAACATCATTTTTGCTATTTTTTAAAAAATCCAGTGAAATATAGTAGATGGCACATTGGAAGTTAATAGGATTGAAGGTCTGAACTTCAAATTATTATTTAGCTATGAAGATAAGTGTGACAAACCCAGACCTACTGGGATGTGTCACACAGTTACACTAAGCTGCCACCAACCATTCCCTATAAGAAGTCACACAGACCAGGGATGGATTTTTAAACAATAAAAAGAATAAGGTTTATTTAAATACACACAGGGTAATTAAAACAATCAGGTGAATAGGATAAAGTAACGTGGCTTATTCTCACTCATACAAGCATACAGTTTGGTTCACCCAGAACCTTAACTTAAAGCACAGACCCTGAACCTATCAGTTCTGGCTAACCAACAGACACCTGAACCTATCAGGTTGGTACTCTGACACACAGTAGTACCCTGTCTGACACACAGACTCCCACACCAACTCCTTCTTCCCAGCTGCTGCTTCGTCTGCTTAGCTTCTCCACACACGCATCCCATATTTATACAGTACAGCCCCTCCTCCTGATGTCCCGCCTTCCACTCCCCATAGGATGGAACTTTCCCTCCAAACCCATGACAGACAGGTAACATCAGTGCTGTATGTAACAATAAGATGTGTCCGTAACAGCAAGGGTCATGTGCTGAGCTTAACAGGAAGGGGATATGTCCTGATAACTGCGGAGAGCTGTAAGTAGCTGCTGGGAGTTCTGGGAGTTCTTTTCATTGCTGACTCCTAAGAGAGCACAGCTGAGGGAGCTCACGGTCAGGGTGAGCTAACAGGAGTTTCATGGGGGAGACCCATAACAAAATTACTGGATTTTGGTAAATAGTTGTATATTAGTGTACTTTCTCAGCTTTTCAAACGTTTTTGGAGCTGATATAGACCAAAGAAAGGTGCAGAGAGTATAAAGAAGCTCGCTCCTGAAGAAGGCTTCACCAAAACAGGTTGAGACAGAGCTTTTTAACTATCCATTTAAATAATACTGAATAAAGAACTTGATTCTATTTTCTACATCCTGAGACTTAGTCTCTCATTTATAATCTGGACTTCCGTGGATGTTCCAGTTCCTTTTGTTTTGTTTTACCCTGAGTGTAATATGGCAGCAAGTGCAAACTGTTGGCATTGTCAGAAGAAAAAGTGAGAGAACTGGAGCAGCGAGTAGCCACGCTTAAGGCTACAAGGAAAGATGAAGAGGACAAGATTGCAGCTGGAGATTGATTTAAAAAATTGTCAAAGAAGAACTTACTACCTTGAACAAATTCAGATATCCAGGGTCAGGTGAACTACATCCAAGAGTATTGAAGGAGCTGGCTGAAGACCTCTCAGAACTACTATCCATTATTTTCTTGAAATCATTAGAAAAAGATGAGGTGCCAGGAGATTGGAGGAGGGCTAATGTTTTCCCTATCTTCAAAAAGGGCAAAAAGAAGAAACCTGGGAATTACAGACCAGCCAGCCTGGTCTGGCCATCAATCCCATGGAAAATTCTGGAACAGATAATTAAACAGTCCGTCTGCAACAGATAAGTTCAAAGTACAGTGGTGCCTCACAAGACAGATGCCTCGCAGGACAAAAAACTCTCAAGACAAATGGTTTTGGCAACGGGGTTGATGACTCGCAAGACAAATGTCCCTAGGCCCATGCTTCGCAAGACGAATGTTTTCCGGTTTTTGTTCCTGCCTCATGTTTGCTGGTTTTTAAATGTTTTTCTATGATGTTTAAAATGTTAAAGTTTTTTGATTGAAATTTTTGAAATCATCTGAACAATATATATGGCTTTAAAGAGCATTTAATAAACCCTTTGTAAACTAAATTTGATGTTCTGACTTTTTTTGCCCCTAGGAACACATTAATTAGATTTCAATGCATTCCTATGGGAAAACGTGTTTTGCAAGATGAATTTTTCGCAAGACAACATTAACCACGGAACGAATTAAATTTGTCTTGTGAGGTACCACTGTACTGCACCTAGGAAGAAGAAACCAAATGCACAGTTACAAGATGGGGGATACTTGGCTCAGCAATACTACAGACGAGAAGGATCTTGGAATTCTTGTAGATCACAAACGGAATATGAGTCAACAGTGTGATGTGGCTACAAAAAAGGCAAATGCTATTTTAGACTGCATTAATAGAAGCATAGTTTCCAAATCCGTTGAGGTGCTGGTCCCCCCTCTATTCAGTACTGGTTAGGCCTCACCTTGAGTGTTGTGTTGAGTTCTGGACACCACACTTCAAGAAGGATGCTGACAAATTGGAACACGTTCAGAGGAGAGTGACAAGGATGATCAGGGGGCTGGAAACCAAGACCTATGAAAGAACTGGCCATGTTTAGCCTTGTGAAAAGAAGACTAAGCGGAGATATGATAGCACTTTTCAAATACTTGAAAGGCCGTCATTCAGAGGAGAGGCAGGATCTGTTCTTGATCATCCCAGAGTGCAGGACATGCAACAATGGGCTCAAGTTACAAGAAACTAGATTTTGGTTCAATATCAGGAAAAACTTCCTTAACTGTTAAAGCAGTATGGCAGTGAAATCAAGAAGGGTGATGACCACTCCAACACTGGAGGCGTTCAAAAGAAATTTAGACAACCACCTGGCAGATATCCTTTGATTTGTATTCATGCATTGAGTGGGGATTGGACTCAGTGGCCTTCCAGTTTCATTATCCTATGGTTCTATGATAACACTGGTTTCAAGTGAGTTATCTCTTACTGAGCTCAGAGAGTATTCATGAGCATAAACTAACTTTGAGCAGAAACAGAATATTCCCTAGTTTGAGGGCCCTTATTGTGTTTTTCTTGCTGTTTTCACATTATTAACTTTCAGGATACTCTTTGCAGGTTCCAAAGGAAAAAGATGAAATGGTAGAACAGGAGTTTAATCGTCTGCTGGAAGCCACCTCGTATCTCAGCCACCAGCTGGACTTCAATGTCTTGAATAACAAACCTGTCTCTCTGGGTCAGGCCCTGGAAGTTGTCATACAGTATGTGGGATTAAATTTCATTGGTAACTAAGGAGGCACCCTTCTGTCTAGTGGCAATAGCTACATTTAACCACATTTCCTCCAGTGGTATAGTGTGATTTTTTTCCATTCAGAACTATTGATCTAGTTTTGAACAAGCATATGGTGGAATATGGCGTAAATGCTACTTCAGCCTACCAGGCTATCTACTTTTCACCCACTGGTTCTTTTCCACCATCTGGCATTTATTTTGACAAGACAGAATACCAGATACCTTGAAAACACTAGACATGATGTGCCTTAGCATGTCATATGATAGGCATTAGAGCACATCATATAGTGAAGATCATATTTACATCGTCGTCTGTTCTTACTTTTTGTGCAGAATCAGGGTGAAGATGTAAGCAGAAATAATATGGCATTTATTTAAGAATGGTGCATTTTGAAGGAGAGGATATCAGCAATTTTTATGCTCTGATGGCTTGTCTCTGTTTTTTACTAAGGTTGCAGGAGAAGCATGTGAAAGATGAGCAGATTGAACACTGGAAGAAGATAGTGAAAACTCAAGAAGAGCTTAAAGATCTTCTTAATAAGGTTAGATATTAATCCAGCCTTGAGACATGTAAAGCTGCTTATTCTGCATTTGAAATTATCATTCCTTCACAAAACTGGCACCACTATTTTCACTGGAAAATTTGTTTGAAGGGTGTCCTTAGCTGGTCTTCACACAAAAGACCAGCTAACGACACCCATCAATCACAGTGACAGATAATCTCTCCTCCTTATCACAACAATACGCCCACAACAAAAACACACTGATCATTATATTCTCCTGAAAAGGACAAAAGCTGATCCCGCAGCCATAAATACTCAACTCCCAAACAAACTGCACCAGAGTACAGAGTGCCCCTCCTGTCCTCTGAAGATGCCAACCACAGAGACTGGCGAAACGTTAGGAAGAACAACCTTCAGAACACAGCCGAAGAGCCCGAAAAACCCACAACAGCCATTAGATCCCGGTCGTGAAAGCCTTTGCAAATACATTAAAAACAAATTTTAAAACATTTAAAAATCTCTAAATACATTTTAGAGTCGGACACGACTAAACGATGACAAAATACATTTAAAGAATGCTTCTCTAGACCCTCGCATTAATTCAGTTTGCCTCTCCCTGTCTTCAGCCAGGCCTTGAATAAGATTCATTTAGTTTAAACTGAGGTTTTTAAAAACCTTGCTTTGGCCAGATTTTGGGAGATAGAGAAGCATGGCATTGAGGATGGCAGTCTTTCTCCAATACATGCTGCAGTGAACCTTTTGAAATGTCTGCTCCCCACCACCAGAACTTGAGACCAATAGAAGCTTTTGGGAGGGAAAGTCATTTCTCTCCATCTGACTAGAGGTGAAAGCAGCAGGAAAGCAAGATACACATCTTGAGCTTAGGACTATAAGCACTGGTAGACCATAAATAAAATAATTCTCCATTGTTTTTGTATACTGTAGTTCTGCATTGGAGAGTACAGTCGGTAGGCCATTGTCACAGAATGTCTAGAGTTTGAAAGGACCAAGAAGTGCTTTTTCTATCTCTTTTTGCTGATGTATTTGCCTCCTGCCAATAGATGGTGAACTTAAAAGAGAAGATAAAGGAACTCCACCAGCAGTACAAGGAAGCATCTGAAGTGAAGCCGCCTCGAGATATCACTGCAGAGTTCCTTGTGAAGAGTAAGCATCGAGATCTTACGGCTCTCTGCAAGGTATGGAACAGTATTAGAATTACTTCTGAATCTCTTTTTATTTTGAAAAGAATCCTAAAGTAGTTGCATGTGACACCTCCAGTACTTGACCGTACTACATCTGATCTCAGAATTCAACATCCCATTCAGGCTTTCATAAATAATGGCTTCAGATATTTACTTGTAGTACTTTGGAATGCCAACACCTATAGTCCAAAAGCTCAAAAAGAGGTTTCTTCAACATTTCCCTTCAGACATGTTATGTCCATTTATGTTTCTGTAATTCTGTTATCAGGAGTATGATGAGTTGGCAGAAACACAAGCAAAACTGGAAGAGAAACTCCAGGAATTAGAAGCCAACCCTCCTAGGTAAACATGTAGATTAACTTTTGTGAATGGCTGGATGTTGATGCTTGTGGTTTTGTTTTCTTCAATGCTTTGTGCTTCTTAATGATGGCATTGTGATGGTTTAAAAAAACGCAGTAGTGGTTTATAAACTGTTCTTAAGGCCACCAGTGAGTCTTGCTTCATTAATGACCATGATAAAAGTAAAGCACATTCTGAACAAAGTGTTCCTTCAGAGAAGTTCCTTTGAACAGATTCTATGATCCATCATAGTTGACATTATCCCAGTAAAGAATTAACACCGTAATGAAACCAAATAATCAGTAACAAGCTGTAAAACTCCCCTGAGTATTCGTTATAAGTGTCTTAATTTTTGCAGTAATTCCAGGCCACTCCAGAACTTGTTAATTTTATATAAGTTCCATTTATTTACATCATTTCTAGGTTCCATACTTAAAAGTAGCAAGTCCAAAAATTATCAAAGACAGTTTTACAGTTATGAGGAAAAAACTGTAGGTATATATGCTTTTTTGTTGTTGTTTAGTCGTTAAGTCATGTCATGTCCAACTCTTCGTGACCTCCACGGACCAGAGCACGCCAGGCCCTCCTGTCTTCTGCTGCCTTCCGCAGTTGGGTCAGATTCATGTTGGTCGCTTCGGATGACACTGTCCAACCATCTCGTCCTCTGTCATGCCCTTCTCCTCTTGCCCTCACACTTTCCCAACATCAGGGTCTTTTCCAGGGAGTCTTCTCTTCTCATTAGATGGCCAAAGTATTGGAGCCTCAGCTTCAGGATCTGTCCTTCCAGTGAGCACTCAGGGTTGATTTCCTTCAAAATGGATAGGTTTATTCTCTTTGCAGTCCAGGGGTCTCTCAAGAGTTGCCCCCAGCCCCACAATTCAAAAGCATCAATTCTTTGGCGGTCAGCACAGATGTGCAAAAATAGTAGGCTTAAAATACTTAAAATTCCAAAATTCCATAAAAACTGAACTTTAGGTTTGAGCAAATACAGTGGTGCCTCGCTTAACGAGCGCACCATATAATGACGAATCCGCATAGCGATCCCTTTTTCGGGATCGCTAATGCGGAGGCATACCGACGGTCGCAATGGGCAAAACTCGCATAGCGACGATCGGTAAGCGTTTTGCTTACCGATCTTCGCTTCGCGATGCCCACGGATCAGCTGTTAGGCAGTTCCAAAATGGCCGCGCGGAGCGTTTTCGCGCCCTCCCCTCACTTACCGAGGGTGCGAAAATGGCTGCCGCTATGGAGGAAACTTCGCTGAACGGTAAGTTTAGGGCCCATTGTTTAATGCTTAATGTTTAATGTTTAATGCGTTCCAGTGGGTTTTTACGTTCCGTTTAGCGATGTTTTCACATAGCGAGGATTAATCTGGAACGGATTAACCTCGCTATGCGAGGCACCACTGTACTTAAGTCAGAAAAAAAATCTCAGTTGTAAGCTTATAGCTATGCAAAATCCAGACGAGAATTGTAGTCATGCTTAAATAAAAAATGCAAAACAAAAAAGCACAGGAGCACATATCCTATAAAGGCAGAGAATACATCTCTATAACACTTCAAAGTTCTTAAGAATAAAATCATAAAAAGCAAAAAACTTCGTAGTTTTCAGTAAAAGTCATGAACAAGTATTTGAACTTTTGAAAGTAAAAATGCAAAACGAAAAGCATTACTTAGCTCTAAGTATGTAATTAATACACAGAAAAATATTTTCTCTAAAAAGAGAAAAAAGCTCACCCAGCCTTCCCAGCCTTTATCTCTTTTATTTCTGTAGGTATCGTCTGCCTGCTTTCATTCCATTTGTGTCTTCCCACTTGTTTGCAAAACAAGATTCTGCATCCTTTGAGATGGCTCTTCTGTTTGCAAAATACGGGTGGCTGTGAATCATAGAATCTGTTCTTTTTGCCTGGGAGTTCTATAAACCTTTGTAGGACTCCTGGGGAAGGCTACAGTCAGACTTGCAAAACCTTTCCAAGTTCCTCCTTGGGAGTTTCAACTTTTTTTGGGGGGGGGGGTCAGACAATATACAGCCATTACTGATGCTTTTGTTCCCTGTCCATGCTATCTTCACATCAAATCCAGCCTGTTGGGAGGTTGCTACTATTTTTGTTCTGAGTTTCATCATGCATTACTACCTGCATTCTATGAAGTGTGTGCTCCTAAGTCAATTCATTTCCTATACAGCTGGCATGTGGGTTCATGTCTTCTAACAGCTGCCATCAAACTACTTGTCCTTTTTAAAAAATAAAAATAAAAAGTGGAATGTCAGTGCATTGGTATGCTTCTGTCTGATAGGGCTTGACGTACCTGAAGATTGTAAAGGGAAAGGGAGAAGGGGTCGATGGGGGAAGTTGAAGGAGGAAGCTGAAGGTTATCCGAGAAGTAGAGGAGACAGGAATAATAGTAGAACACTCCACCAAAGTCCTTCAGGAATGGCAGAAAGGAAGCACGTGGAGCCTCGGTCCCCCTGCTTGCTGTGGTTCCCAAACTTTTTCTTCTTGCGCTCCTCTGAGCGGTGGTGGCGGCAGAGCAAGGGGACTGGCAAGGGGTGCAGGGCAGAACAGGAAGCAAAGATGCATGAAGGAGTTGGAGCCAGAAGAACAGCAGCAGCGGCAGCAGTGCCACCAGTGGCTCAGCAAAAAGAAAAGAAAAGCTGCAGCGTTGCTCCTGGCTGGTTTGTTGGCACCCCAGGGATGTATCTACACAAGTTGGGTTTTTTTACAGTAGGTCTGGGTTTGTCACAGTACCTACACAAGTTGTTTTGTTTTTTTAAGGGAGGAGGGGGCAGAGAAAAGCAAAGCAAAAAAATAAAAAAAAGGAAGTCAATATGTCCTGCTTGAGGGGTAAAGACAAACTTGCCACTCCCAATTTACCTTTAGAAATGCAGAATGGTCAAAAAGGTATGAGCCACTATCACAAGATATATGCCATGTGACCACAACACACAGCTGTACAGAAACCAGAAGACATGAGGAGGAAGGGGGCACTTCTCTAGTCTGACCGCAGCCGGAGTCAATTATCCAAATCAGGATCTGACACGATAAGGGCAGAGTTCTAAATTCAAGCAGGAAGAAAGATGGGTTCAAGTTTAAGATGGATGATGTCTAGCTTTCCAGTCATTTGTATGAAAAGGCTGCATCAAGGAAAGTAATGATGCCACTCTATTCTGTTTTGCTCAGACCTAACTTTAATGTCTAGTTCTGAACTCATCTGTTTAAGGATATTGAGAAGGTGAAACATGTCCAGAGGAAAATGACAAAGGTGATAGTCAGGAAATTAAGTCCTTTGTGAAACAGTTGAAAAAGAGAAGTATGTTTAGTCTTGAGAAAAGAATATTATAAGGTGGTATGACATCCATCTTCAAATGTATATAGGACTGTCACATAAAAAATGGACCAACATATTTTTGATAGGTAGGATCCCAACCAGTGAATTCATATTACAGGAAAGAAGTTTTGATTGAACATAAAGTATATATTCCTGATGGTTAAAAGCTGTTAGATAGCAGTGGAAGGTGGCAGATAATTCTCATTTGGAGGTTTTTAAACAGTTTGAATGGAGGGATGCTATAACTATGAATTTTCTGCATGAGCAAACAGTTGGGTGAGATGATCTGTTGAATGATCTAGTGCCAAAAATGAGTATAAAGGCAAGGGATTAATCTGTGCAATTTTGTTGAAAGATAAGATCTTTGCAGACCCAAGGGAATGTACAGTGTATATACTACTAACACAGTCTCTATCTTTTTTTTATATAGTGATGTCTATTTATCATCAAGAGACAGACAGATTCTTGACTGGCATTTTGCAAATCTTGAGTTTGCAAATGCCACACCACTCTCTACGCTGTCACTGAAACACTGGGACCAGGTAACCAGTCAGTATGTTTCTAGAGATCATTTTCAAAATAACATTGAATCCTTTAATATGGAATTATAGGGGAGTAGAGCATTTTGTAACCAGGGTTATATATATTCTTCCCTGTTAAAAAATCCATACCTAGATAATAAATTTTGTACCTCCCAAAATTCTTATTATTGAGTTTTCTTCTTAGTTATGGAAAGAGGTAAAAAAATTACATATGGCACATAAGTTCCTCTCTTTGATCATAGATGTGCTGTTCAAATGCTCTTCATTCTTCTCTTTCTCATACAGCCTGTGTATCCATCCTTTGTTGTATTGTTTCAGAATATACACTGTAAGATTTCTATAAGGTAGTTTGAACAAATATGTACACTCAAATTCAGAAACCAGTGCTCCAGAAGGAACAACTTGCACTTTGGTAGTGCCTGATGAAGCCTTACAGAATAGGAGACAAAATGCTATATAAATGTACTACTTAATGTTCTGCTATTAGCTGACTTCCTTTGGGTTGGATGAACTGTCCTGAGATTCACTGTCTATATATGGAGCTTTCATGATAAGGGAGCATTTTATTATGAAAGCCATATGTGTGGCACTTCTCCAGTGCTCCTGATATATATGCATGGGTATGATGTCATTAAAAGGGATATGCAGATAACATTTGCACATAAATCCAGATTCTTCTTTGTGGTCTCTGAATGCACACAGGGTTTAATCTGCGCCTGTGTGGAGGTTTCACAATATTCTAGAGCTTTAACACGCGTTGGCAAGGACCGCCCTATATATCTTTCTATAAAGATAGAAAGAAATCAGTGAGACACTTTTTGATCTGTTTTCCTTCTCTCCACACACACCCCTTTCCCCCTCCCTTCCCCCTTTTATGGTCTCCACAGGGAAGTGCACTTCGTGCCCAAATAAGATTCCCCTCTCCAATAGACACGACTCTTGCCTGTTCTGTTTGGGAGAATCCCATCAAACAGCTTCTTGCCATTTTTGCAAGAATCTCACAAAAGAAGCTCTTGAACTCCACCAACAATGCCTCAGATCTTTCCTGTTGGAACGATCTTTACATCCTTCACTACCCATCATGTATGATACACAAATCTCACAGCCACCACCTGCTTCTTCTGATATTACCACTACTTCTCCGCTGCCGAAAGCAACATCATCGAAAACGAAATCTACCTCTAAGGCGAAGTCCTCGGGATTGATGTCACAGTTGACCCCGACACTGAAGCTGCCTCCGAAATCAGAGCGTCCCAAGCCCAAGAAACCAAAGAAACCCTCTGATTCACAAGCTCCTAAACAACAATCACTTCCTATCCAAGACCAGCCTACCATAGATCTTGACTGTGGGACCATGCTTCCATCCCGCCTCCATCAGGCCAATCACCTTCTCTCCTTCTTGCCCAGTCTCTTTCGTGGGCAAATACCTTGGCTAAGGTAACAGTACTTCCATATTCAGCTTGCTTGAGCCCCAAGTCTATGGGCTGCTCTGTCTCTGTGTGCAAATTGGATTCAGCATCTATTTTGGTTGATCCCTTACCTCCACGTCAGTGATCTAGGAAGATGCACTGTGCACCAGACTTGCCAATCCAATGCTGAACTTCCACAACCTCCGGTATCTATGGAGTTGCAGGCATTGCATGACTCCTGGGCTCGATACCATCATCCCAAGCAAGTCACCATTTATGAGCCTCCTACCTATTATGAACCTCCAGCCAAACGGTATCAACATCACTTGTACCAATACTGGCAGCCTGATACCAGACATTACATCGAACCCAAGCGTCTTCGATACCCATATTATCCTTCTGCCTCTTCTGACTTGCCATCTCCTCCTCAGTACCACCCGAGGCATGAATATGACCAGTCCTCTGAGGACGATACCCTTCCTCCTCCTCCAGTAACTTCTTCCTCCTCCGAAACCACGCAAGTCCTCTCGTAAGAGAAGTCATACTGAATCTGTTGCAATTCAACCACCTTCGGTACCAAAGTGGCCCCTACCGACTTGGGTTTCATTGCCACCTGCTGAGTCTGCTACGCTTTCACAGGTCTGCTCTTCCTCTCTTCAGGTTACCGCAACCTATACCGGGCCTTCAACCGTGCCTCTAGATACCACTAAGGCTTGCTAACATAAGCGCCTTACATCTCACCATTCTGCACAGGTAATTCTATCTAAACACAGTATCACTAAATCTAAATGCCACCTGCAGGACCTCCCTCAAGCACCAGCCTCTCCATATCAACAGGTTGCTTCACCATCACCTATGCAGTTTTCCAATTCTGAAACTTCAGACTCATTGACACCACAAGGGTCATCTCCTAACTTAACAACTCCTGATTCGGATGTCGCCGATACCAATCCTCCATCTCCATCTGAGGATTTCTCCTCCTACTTACAGCTAGTGCTCTGCATAGTCAAGGCCATGGACCTTGGTGTCCAGCAACCAGTCCAATCAGAGTCGGATAAAGTCTATGAGGACATTAATGAAGACCAGACACCCACATTCCCATCTCTTCTAAAATTAATCAGTCATGGTCCAAACCATCCTCAGTACCTCAGATTTCTCAGAGGGTTGAGAATTTATATAAAGTTCATGGGGACAATACTAACTTCCTCTCCCCCTCCCAGTTCTGTAATTGTTGATGCTACACAAAACAGAGTATGCAATCCATCTAATCCTACTCCTAATAACAAGGAGGGTAGGAAGCTTGATATCATTGGCCTCAGAGTTTACTTGCTTGCTTCCTTTACCCTACGTGCTGCTAATTATCTTGCAGCCATGGGAGTTCATCACAGGTGAAATAAGGCCTTTCCAATCCTTCAAGCAGCACCTGGAGGCTAGAAAGCGGGTGGCCTCTCTTTTCATCAAGAAGCCATGGCTTTGGCGCGTCAGGAATGCATCACAGCACAGCATGTCATTGAAGCCACATCAAAGCACAGGGCTACCACTGTTGCCCTCCAAAGACATGCTTGGCTCCGTTCAGCCCATATCACTGACGACTCTCACATGCGCATTGAAGACCTACCCTGTTTCCCTAAAAATAAGACCTAAGTCATCGTCTTCCTTCCAACCTCAACATGCCATACAAAGGCAATGTCCCAGGCAATCTTTCAGGGGCCCTGACAAGAAAACAAAACACAGTCTTTGAGTCCTCCGTCACCCAGATCCATTAACTTCACCTCCTGCCACCCACCACCACCTATCTTGTAGCCCATTTTCCATCGTGGGCATCTATCACCACTGATTCTTGGGTCCTCTCTATTATAGCCACCAACTATGCAATAGAGTTTGCCTTTTTGCTACCACCAAGAATTGTTCTAACCACACCATCAACTATCTTGGAATAAGAGATTCAATCCCTTCTCTCAAAGGACACCATATCATCTGTCATCTTACAAGAAGGTGATTCCGGGTTCTTCTCCCACTACTTTACTGTTCCAAAAAAAGACTGAGGCCTTCGTCCCATTCTCAGCCTCTGTGACCTAAACTACTACATTTTTCAGAAACACTTACACATGGTGACACTAGAACGCATCCTACCAATACTTTAAGAAAATGACTGGTTTGCTGTCATCAACCTAAGCAGTGCCTACTTTCATATTGCCATCTGTCAAGATCACCACAAATTCCCTAGGACAAGCCACTTACAAATTCAAAGCCCTCCCGTTCGGACTTTCCACTGCACCACACGTATTTAGAAAATGTATGGCCCCATTTCCACTGCACCACAAGTATTTACAAAGTGTATGGCCAGCACTCACAGAATTTCAATTTTTCCATACCTAGACGATTGGTTACTAGTAGCCCCCTCATGTTCACAGGCTCTGCACAATATCTACCTAACTCTCCTAGCGGACCTGGGCCTTGGGGTCAACAAAGACAAATCCATTCTAATTCCTTCACAGAAGGTCATCTACATAGGTGCCATTTTCGATTCACAAAAAGCAAGAGCCTTTCTGCCTCACGAGTGAGCAATGAAGATACACTCTCTCATCCAACACTTAACAACCTCGCACGCTCTTAACTGTGCATCAAGCTCAACGCCTCCTCGGCATCATTGCTTCCACCATATCGGTCATACAGCATGCTCGGCTCAAAACGCGTTCCCTATAAGCAGGGTATCTGTCCCTCTTTGACCCCATGTCCGATCCACCTATCAAAATTCTACAGGTCATTTCTGAACTTGCAGCCTTCCTCTACTATACCTTGCCATTCAACTATGGGAATGGTGTTTTGACCACCATATCTTTCCTGTAGCGGTCCATATCTCCACTCTGCACAACCAACTGAGATACTCTCAGCAGGCTTCGCACTCAGATGCACGAGTGGGTGCTTGACGACTCCGTATTCCTCCAGCTCTGCAGCCTATGGGGACATCCCAGAATAGACATTTTTGCCACGGCACACAACACCAAGTGTGCCCCATACTTCTCCAGAGCTGGCATCGGGCCAGGCTCCCTCGGAGATGCACTCATGATGCAGTGGACCTTACACCTGCTCTACCTCTTCCCTCCAATTCCTCTCCTCCTGCGGACCATTGTCAAACCCTGCCAAGATTGCTCAGATGCCATCCTCATCACCCCATGGTGGCCCAGGCACCCATATCCACTGACCTCATTTCTCTCCCCCCCCTCAATTCCTCCCCTGGTCAGTCAACATCAAGGAAGGACCCTTCATCCCGACCTCCAGACTCTTCATCTCACAGCATGGAGAATTCTGTAGCTACTATTCTAGCTCCTGCCTGAAAGCCTACTACCACGCAACTTTATGCTTACAAGTGGTCTGCCTTTCAAAAATTTGCAGATCAACACAATTTCCCTACTGCACTCTTCAGGCACTCCTTGCCTTCCTTTCTTATCTTCTCAATCAACATCTTTCCTTGTTTGCACACAAAGTGTCTATCTCTGCCATAGTGGCATACCAACCAAAAGACTCTGATGCTGCCCTACTCTTTAGGCACCCAACCCTGAAACAATTTCTACGAGGCGTTTCCAATTTGCGCCCCTCTAGGCCCTCCCCACCACCACAGTGGTCGTTACATACTGTCCTCTGACGTCTCCTGCTACCTGACTTTGAACCTCTTGCAACTACGTCAGATCGTTTTCTTTCCTTTAAGACCCTATTTTTGGTGACTATTACTTCTGCTCGTAGAGCTTCTGAACTCGCGGCTCTTCGAGTCGACCCCCTGTTCCTCCAATTCCACCCTGACAAAGTTACACTCTATCCCAGTGTCTCCTTTCTACCTAAGGTAATATCTGAGTTTCATCTTAGGACAATCCATTATTTTACCTACCTTCTTTCCATCACCAACCAATGACTTGGAGTGCTCTCTTCACCTCTTAGATGTCAGACGAGCCTTGGCGTTCTACGTTTCCAGAACCTCTTCCTTTCACTAGTCTAAGAGGCTTTTTGTTTCCCTGCATTTACCACACAGGGGATCTCATGTTTATCCCTAAACCATCTCTTGATGGATTGCTACAACTATACGCTTCACATGCCAGCTTGCTAAAAAGCCTTTGCCTACTAGCATTAAAGCTCATTCCACAAGGGCGGTGGCTGCCTCCACAGCTTTTCTGAGTGGTGTCCCATCTGCAAGGCCGCCATGTGGTCAACTCCGTCAATCTTTGCCTCTCATTACCACTTAGATGTCAGAGCAAAGTCAGATGCCGCCTTTGGATGAGCAGTTCTTTCATCTGTTCTTCCGTGACGTCCCTCCTCCGGATAGGTAAGCTTGTTAATCACCCAGTGTGCATTCAGAGAGACCACAAAGAAGAAAGAGAAGTTATTTACCTGTAACTCTGGTTCTTCGAGTGGTCATCTGTGAATTCACACTTCCCGCCCATCCTCCCCTCTGTCTGCCACGTCTGTTTTATTCTATGCAGTGGCAGGCTGTTTGGGAACTGAGGCAATCCCCAGGACGGGTGGACCAAGTGCACTAGGGGGACGGTCCTGGTGAACGTGTGTTAAATCTCAAGAATATTCTGAAATCTCTGCACAAGTCCAGAATTAAACCCATTAGTGTGAATTCACATCTGGCCACTCAAAGAACCAGAGTTACAGGTAAGTAACCTCCCTTTTTACAGTTGGTATTCCATATGCAATCTGAGAATTGACCACACAGTGTTGAACTTACAGTGGTGCCTCGCTTAACGATTGCCTCGTTTAGCGATGAATTCGCATAACGATGTGGTTTTTTAGAAAATAATATGCACCGTATAATGATGTTTCCTATGGGTGATTTTCGCTTAGCGAAGTTTGGGACCATGCTTCGCATAACGAATGCGATTTTAGATCCCCTGCTTCACTTAACGATGTTTCTTTTTTCAATTAAAAAAGTGTCTTAGAAGGGTCAAAAACGGTTCTAAATGCTTGGATTC